GATCTCCCGCTTTTACAACTGATCCCCAGCTGGCGGAGATCAGCTTCCCCCGGAGAAAATGGCTGCTTTGAAGGGTGGACTCTGTGGCATTGCACCATGCTGAGGCCCCTTCCCAAACCCCGCCCTCTCCCGGCTCCACCCCCAATGTCTCCAGGTATTTTCCAACCCAGACCTAGCAACCTTCAGACCTCCCTTATTTGGCCGAATAATAGGCATGAGGACCAGGCAGAGTAAACAACAAATAAAAGGTTTATTTTTACAGGAGGTCAGTCCCATAGGGGAAACAAACAAGGTGCAAGAACAATCAGTAAGGGGGTGAAAAGACAAGAAACCAAATGCCCTAACGCATCTAAACTTACTGTCCCTCGCTCACGGTCTCAAGTGGGCCTCAGTCTGCTCACCCTCCCTCCCAGGATGAGGGTCTCTTCCCTGCATCAGCCTTCCTTCTGGCTCTGCCCTCTTGGAAGAAAGAACAGCTCTTCTCCTGTACCAGTTCTTCTATTACAAGACCCTTGTGAGATACTGCTTGCAGGTTGAGGATCATAGTGTTTCGTCATTGCATTTTCATCTGCCTCTTCTTCAAAGGGGCTCCTGGTCGGTTCTGCCCCTTCCATTTTCTCCTCATGTAGGGGGATTTTAGGGGTCCAGGCCTCTTTCAGGGATCCCCCAAACACACCCACACTAGGGTTCTTTTCTTTGGGTGGTTGGAGTCTGGCTAGGGAACTCCAGCCTCCAGAAGGAGAGAAATACGGAGAGAACAGTTGCCTTTAACTAATTCCAGAACCATACACAAGTAATGCTCAGTAGCATATATTCAATATCAATATCCAGTAGCATATAGAAAATCCCAATACCTGATATAGTGTACACTTCAGAAAGAACAAAGGTTATTCCTGGACTGTGGACCAAGACCTCAACTCAAGCCTAGGTGTGGTGTCGGCCAAACAGCCTCGAACAAAGCCCCAAACCTCCTTTTTATATTCTTGTCAGCCAATAGGAATCAAGGGAGGAGTCAATTAAAAATGTCCCAGACTTGCCAAATACCCGCCCATCCTAAGTTGATAACATGAACTTTTGCTGGCATGAACTTTTGCCCAGATATATTTTATTAGCTGTGATGTCAGAAATGTTTAGGCATTGGAACCTGGCACTCCGAGGCCGAGGAATGCCAGATATTAATTGGGGCAAAGGTACATTCACAGGGTAAGGCTTTAGGTTTTTTTACGCCTAGGCTGCCAACAGAAGAGCAAAGGCTTATGGGACCAGTAACCAAATAGAGAGGTACAAGAGGGGGACCCGCGATACTCATGGGGGGAGAAGAGCTCCGTCTCCTCCATTCCCCCCCCTCAATCTCCCCGAGGCTGCGGCGGCGGCGGCAAGGGCGGTCCTCCACCACCCCCCCCAGCTCCGAGGGGGAGGCGGCGG